ATATTTCATTACCTGTACATCTGCCGGTAATGTAAGCTCCCATGGAGGATCCTGTGCACGGATTGCGACTTCCTTGGTAAACATGTCCACCTCTGCTCCTGTCAGCGCTGCCAGTGACATCTAATGATGAGAATGAAATTACTAACAATAGTAAATCTATAGATGTGGTGATTGAATGATATGAGGCGTATGTCAGATACATCATTAGTTTTAGTTTTCAGTGCATAGTGTACTAGAAAACAACTCACGTGAAATACTGCTTCAAATGCTTCCCTTGCGTCATCAGTTCTCCCATCAAATCCAAGGTAGGTTTCTTGTGCCGTGATGACGTCATCACCTGGTAGCATCTCAACAGTGTAAAAGACATAGTCACCTTTTGTCATACCCATATCATAGGCTTCCAGTAACAGCATTCGGCGATCCTCTTGTGGTACGCAGACAACAACAACTTGCAAGGATAAATGTCAACTCAATTTAAATATGAATTTGAATTAGTTTATAGCGAATCGTTAATTTAACCAGCTGATTCTAGTGGATTGCTCGCTCAATAACAGTAATGTGCATGTATATCTGCGTTCTATATTAAAATGATTAAAATCAGCCTTTGAATTAACAATTTTGTTTAAATAATAGCCACCAGTCATTCATATTTAATCGGATCATAATTAATAAGCATATTGTGTAGTTAATGTGAATTTTGATGCAATGCAATGCATACTAGAATGTACTCACTTCTCCCTTCTTTCTTTATTTTGTTGAGTATTGACTGAATTTTCTTCCGTGTAGGATTATTGTTGTATACTGCCACGTACGGTAGAGTCACATTGTTGTCATTGAATGTCTGCAATTTTGAAATGCATTCATATACTAAATCAAAAGATCTACAGAATTAGGAAATAATTTGTCTATATTAAATGCGTTCTTACCTTCTCAATTGCTTTACCAGCATCCCCGTACAACAAAAATGTAGAATATACAATGACAGCACGATTCCAATTATAACTAGCCATTATTTCCATCAGAAACACCCCAAGTTTAGTGAATGGTCCAAGTGAACGTCCGAGGGTGCTGTAGATGTTTTTATCATTGAAGTCTGGTGATGTAGCTACCCATGATATAATTGGAATGTTCCAAAATGCTGCCAATTGTCCAGATATCATACAGGCTGAAATATAAGGACACATCATAGAAACTTTCAGATTGGTGGTGCAGCTAAGGAGCGGATCATCAGGTTGGCGTTTCCGTATATGTGATGGTAGTGATACTAAACTGGAGTAGAATAAAATTGTGTATTTGAAAAATTTTCAAAAACATGAAGTAGTATATATTTCAAAGTTAACAATGCAGTTTTATATTCGCGAATAATTGGCCTATAAGAAATATAAACTTACCTGTCGAACATGGTGGTCCAATGATGACGTCAACGTGTTCTTTGAGGTGCATATCGACTGTGTAACCGGCAGCCTGTTTGCTGTCACATGACGAATCACGAGTTACAATTCTGAAATATCAATAATATTATAAATGCGTTGATTTGGTCAATAAGGAACGAAATATACGGCGTACAGTAACAACCCCATGTAATGTTAAATAATGAATATGAGGATGAATAATAAAGTGAACACATTCCAACTTATTATGAATATTTTCGACAGTTACCAATGACTAAAATATCATAGTTGTCAATTGTCAATTCACTTCTAGTTGTCTTGGTTACTATTGTAATGTATTTTGTTCTACGAGCTGTGATATACTAGTATAACGATTGTCATCAAAATCTAAGATTAAAAAATAAACAATCATTGATGTTTTGAATTGTTTATAAATTGTGTGGGCATTCGGGATTTCAGTAAGCACTCGATGTTTTCTACGTCACCAGATTCTTCTGGTACGAAATAAGATTGAATAGCGATATCTCCAATTGGCATCCATATCATTATGAAATTGCATATTTACATTTATTTTGTTTTTTTTCAAGCGTTATCATGTTAGAATTTAAACCATCATGGCACAAAAATAAACAAGAAATACAGATAATTAAATAATTGATAACAACTTTTGCTATTGTCTGAAACTCGACTAAATTATGTTCAAATGTATAACAGCTACTTAAAATGTCAATATAAATGTCATCATATATAAATACTGTACATGGGGTATAACAACAACATTTGTTGTATTTACATGACATGTTTTGTTTGCAAGTTTCAGATAAATAGAACAGTAACAAAAGTAACCCTAATGCCACCATAGTGCCAAGTAGTTTATATACATATCGGGTGGTCTTACGCTTAGTACCTGAATGAAATGTATATAGATGCATAATATGTTGTTTTTCTGATGTGAGTAGTAACTCTTAAATTTGACTCGTCGTGCATATAAACCTCCAGGGACACAATGTAATAAATCTCGCCCTTTGCCCCGGTAAATGGAATTCGAGAATTCTCTATAATTATATTTGCCGTTTTTATATGTGCTACTAATTATGACAGCCGAATTAAATCTGAATATAGCTTGTATACACATGAAAACATAAGAAAATTACTTACTCGAATTCGAGATCTTCGACTAGATCCATCTCATTAATTCTATCAATGGCGATGTTTATAGCCCCTGCACTAGTTGCGCCACTAAAATCGTTCACTATTTCAGTGTTTGTCCAAGGAGCTAGGAATCCTAGTTTAAGTTTTAAAAGAGCCATTGAAGGAACGATACTCAAAGCCACGAGAAAACATAAACGTAACACTGTGTTAAAAGACATTGTCATTTCATCCAGTCAATGCGACGTGTATTTTTTAAGATGCACTCACAGACCACAGTGTCGTTAAAAATTAATATCCTTGGCTCTCTGGTTTTTGTTCCTCGTTTGAATGTCACAGCGGTTGGTCAGGACCTGCCGCAAGGCAAAAATCCCTGGGAGGGAGAAGACAACGCGGAAATAATAATTATTTTACCACAAACTGTGAAAATATCTGTTGGAACACTGTAATTATCACATACCTATTGATACTATCTGTGGTGGACACGGTACAAAGCATTGGCCACACGTTTTCGCATAGTCCAATGACGTCATCGTGAGGACGTTCAATTTAATAAGGTTATGTGCTGTGTATGCCTAGCGCAATTCACGTACGAAAATACCTAAATAAATACGAACAATAACAAATCCCGGCCTTTGATCAGTTCTGAGCAAATACAAAATACGCAAACATGCTCTTCGATTTGAAATGGGTAGATATAAAATATAGAGATAGTAAATGTCCTTCTTATTTGTAATCTATACATAAAAAACAAGAAAGATTTCCCATTAAAATATGACAATATGCAGAGGTAAGAAGTAAACTTATCAAAATGTCAAATTTTATACTAAAACCATCTAACGATCGAAGAACCACATATGGTGATGAAACACTTGCTAAGTATACATTTAATTGCTTTAACGTGATTGTATTTTAAATCAATGTCCAATGTCATGATCACACAAACATACTAAACCTTTCAGGTCCCATATTACAAAATCACAAATATATATTCCTAGAATTACGATGTAAAAAGGTTCTTACTAAATTGTTGTTTGTTGAGAGAGTATATTGCGTGATTTTAACAGAATGTTATGTCTGATATTTTTGTTCCAATTAAACATTTCTCATTTACCGACGAACGTATTGATATGGACCAGCGGATATTGAAAATACCGGAATACAGCAGTGACCGATACATGGTAATTGTCTTTGGTAATTAACGAATCAATAATCGTTATGCCAATATTTCAGTTATTCGCTTCGTAAAACCATTGGGTACACTGCGATGATGTAGACGAGAGTGTACAAGCAGTGTATTTTTTTAAATAAAAAGTCGTTTGTCATTTTTAATTCATTGAAACATCGGGATATCTATGTACAGTTACTAAATACAATTTACCGGCACTGGGTCAAAGCCTTCTTATACAGTTTAACAATATGAACGATATTTACTGTCCAGTTCTCGAAGACACGTACTAAAACGTACACAGTACTGGAATCAAGTAAAGTAGCTCACTGGTTTATTGTAGAAGACATGCCTGGCAAACACAATTATTAAACGTGTAGTACGTAACACGGAAAAACGAAAGTGAATACTTTTTTTCTAATACTGTTCTTTCAAGTAGCTTAGTTTACAATTAATTATGTACACATTTATCTTTCCGCACCACAGGTACTCACGGGAGAATATATAATATATATATATATAAATATATATTATATATAAATACATCATCTGAAAGCTTAGATATAGCCAAATACAGTAGTTCATACGACGTGCCAATGTTTGTTTATGGAATTACCTGCAGGCCAGTACCGCTATTGTGCTTTTTTACTTTTCCGACTATTGGTAACACCATGTTAACACTTCCTGTCACGTGAATTACCTGTTGCATGGCGTGCAATGGTAAATTCGGCAAAATCTCTGTCTGAAAAATCCTTTCGTTTTATTGTGTTTACATACTGACCTTCTTCGCTAAAGACTGAGCATTGAGTCTATCCTATCCCAGAATTTTGATTCGTTCATGAGAGATACGTTTATATTGACTTGATTCAATTAACCCATAAGAGGTTTTATTCCTTGAATGTTTTCTTAGAATATGTTTATCAGTAAACATTTCGTTTGATGTTGATGTATATTCCTGGATTGTTTAGTTACTACAGTGTAGACATATACGCTGAATTCCTTGCTCACATTATGAAGGCAGCTTCACACGACAAAAACGCTGTTCAAAAGAAGATTGGCAACCTACATATTCAACAAGTTCAAATAGTTGATATTTCTTGAGCACATTGAATGTAGTTGAAATCTTTTTCAGGTGGTACAGTTATTGTTCTGTAAGTATAACGATGTCATTTTAAACGTTATCTGTACGTGATGTGTTTGTTGTAAAACTGGACACATTCAGATAATATCGTGCGTCCTGTAATTTTTAGTAAGAACACTATTAACTAAATAATTGACCTCTACCAACGCGTTATCAATGCTGGCTCAGCGTATAGATGGGTTTCCTCCGGTATGAATGAACACTCATATGTTACTGGTACTACCTTATTCGTATACTGTACTACACCAGTACTAGTGTGTCAGTGAGAAAGGTGAATTGTAATTTGCATTAATTACAGGATGTACACCATATACCAGGAGCTAGAAAGGCAAGAATTAAGGAACGATGGACATTTAATTCAACATGCGAATAAATAATATGCTTTTGTTTACCTGTGTACTTGCATAAAAAATTGCATCTTGATGAATGATGCAATAATGTATAACCGTTTTCTAGTAAATGTTGTGTATGTTTGTTCTCACTAGCTTTATATATTTTACATCGGGAGTATAACAATTGTCTCAGGAAATCCATTGAAGTAACAGTAAAGTGGACCATGGCGGCGTAAGCAGAGTGAGGCATTCATACACTATATAATTGATAGATAGATATGTAAGTATTACACGCTATAAGCGTACGAGCGCTTGTTGGTAAAATGAACCCAATATTTCGTTTACAAGCACTTGCTATGTAACTAACATAAACAGTAATCATACACCACGTGATACCCACTAATGACACCACACTGTAATTATCTGCGGTGCAATGCTCCATGGGGTGTCACCTCTCGTAGTGATGTAATGCCATGGTAACTAATGATATTACAAAACATTTTCAATTATAATTATTTCTATTGTATGTAAATGCTATATCATAATTTGGTTAGAATGTAAAACGAAATGACTTCTCAAACAGAGATTATGATGAATTAACCATTGTACGATAAGTTTGTGTATAGGCACATCTTTCAACAGGTCATTTGCGTGACTGGAAGTGTTAAAATGGTGTTTTAGTCGGAATTGTAACAAAACGAGCCCAATAGAGGCCTTTAGGTAATCCTCTTAATGAACATTGATACGGCATATGAACTAATGCATTTTCCTATATCTAAGATTTCATATAATGTATTTATATATCCTCCCACGATATTTTAATTCCCACGTGGGCAAAATTTGATACATAACTCTACTAGCAGCAGTTACTCGTGTCTCCTGACGTGAAACCGAGTGAAAATATTGTAGGATTATTTATTTATCACATGCATATTTCAACAATATGACATACTAGTAGTGATACGCCAGAGTGCTGACAGTCCTGCTGAAATAGTACCGAATACAAATATATCACTGTATGCACCTCGTATATTAATGTTGTTGCCGTATCGGTGTTGCATAATCTGTATGGCGATTTGCAGTTCAGTGTAATGATTTTCTATATTTATGTAACAAAAGTCCTGGCAAATGAATCTGATTGGTTCGTGCAAGCAGATTACCCCCCTTGACGTCATGGCTGTCTACCACAAAATTACCAATAGCTCAAGATGTGTATGATATAAAGCTGCATATATGTGAAACCTCATCTCAAATTCCTCAAATCTCAATTTCTCTGCACACAAAGGCTAAGAACAAATCAAAGTTACATATCTGATATTGAAGGGTTACTCAACCTCTATTTTCGAAAAGAAATAAAAACTAGTCACAGTATTAACTGCACCGCGTGAACTCTTCGAAGAATATGTTTTTAAAATGCCAAATTATTGTGAAATGCTAGAATTTGAGCTACTTGAACTTCGTTAAACTCTGAACGTGCGTTGCGACTAGTTTATCGACTGCGATTAAACAAATAATTCATGATTACAGAGAAACATTGGCATCAGTTTAACTAACTTATGAACTAGTTCTTCCATTGGTTTTTACGCATTTTAAAAGTAAATCGGCAAGCTGTAGTTAGAAAACGACGAAATCCTCAAATGCGATGTAAAAACACATATTCGGTATATAGCAAGAACATTCAGATTGATGATATTTCAAAATTTGTTCACCAAAAGTGTTATGGTCATTAAAACGAGCTATGTTTTGTTGTAATTGAAGGTGACTAAACAATCGCGTCACAATTTCAAATTATGTGTTAGATTTCTGGCTCTGTTCGTTGCACCGCATTGGGTGCCCCAGGTCGCCTTGAGCCTTTCCCACAAAACTACCCGAATTACCGAACAATGTTGCTGAGTTTTCCATGACATTTCCGATCGTAAGATACGTGAAAAAAGACATAGACACTAGATACATTCGCCTTGTCTGCAGTCAGTGGCGAATTTGGCAAAATGTATTGGGGGGGTCCAAGCTACGCTTAAAATATACGGAGCGTAAATCGCAGAGAAGCTATGCGTAATCCAGATGATATGAATTGTCATGCGTATGGGAGGGGCCCTGGCCCCCTGCCCCCCCCTCTGGATCCGCCACTGTCTGCAGTCGTGTACAAAGGAGACGGTGCAAATTTCGGGATTTTCCACAATAGCTTAAATTGTCCAGAGTAAAGTGTCGAATTAACATGTAATATACAAACAATAATTATTGATATCAATACAATACGCTTGTTGGCGGGACAAGCTCAGGTATATACAACGCTAACTATATGTCGTGAAGACATTCGTAACTAGCAGCCACTGACCTCTGATCCACGCAAAGTTGTGTTAAGTAGGTTGTATACCCTCCCACACGAGAAAAAGGACATCTCTGAATAGTTCGTAAGAGGATGTATTTCTATAGTGACATCATATACACACGTTTGGTTTGCATGATGTTGTGGGGTTATTTAGAATTTACAGCTTGCATGTTTAAAGCGAACATTATAAATATATATTACAGGAATGTTATAAACACATTGTTTGCGATTTATCCTGGTAATCACGTGATCGTGCCAATGGCTGCAGCCATTGTTTGAACATATCTTCACTCTGTCATTTCTTAGAGTTTTATATGAACTATGTAAGATAGTGCATTATCAGTTAACAACCGCGCGTTACTGTGGCTGGTTGGTTAATGAATAAAGCTAATGTGCATTCCTTTGGGTCGAACCTAGTATATCTACAGTGTAATTTTTATTTGCCAAACGAGTCAAAATACCAAATCACTACGCTCCATTCGTAACAATACTAACAACATTACATCAGTGCATACGAGTGGGTGTTATTAAAGATTTACACATGGTATTTGTTTTAATATTAACTTGCCCAGTACTAGGCATTATTAGCGATTAGCATATAGCATATAGGAGATTCGGAGTTAGTTATAAGTCAAGTAATACCTACCTGACCTCAGACTACAAGTTTCTCTATAAAATTAATTTTATGCGAGATTGGGACATGATTACCTTAAACAAATATATTTTGAATCCATGGTCACTGGACAATTTGTGCGCATTCCACAAAAGTAGAAAGTACGCACACGCTTCACCAATGTCAAAAGTTAATTTTCGCGGTTTTGTGATAATGCATGTTGCATTCTGGGAGGCAACCTGAACAAATACCAACTGCTTCTCACACTACCACGTGTTATCTGCGGTAAAATTGTTGTGTATGTAAATTGAAATAAACACTAGTGATATTGTGTTAATATTTATTTGTTTATGGAAAAGATTAGTATATTGGTGGTATTACAAGTCAGAAAGCATCAAACAAACACACGACTGACACATATTATCAATAACAATAACAAACTGGTAAGGCAACATATCAATTCCTAAATTACAAGATTAAAGTATCACTTCAAAGGTGATCTCAACTAAACTATCCTCTTGATACCGTGTGAATCTGTAACCGTGCAACTTTAAACATTCATTGTAACTAATGATGGATATGACATGTGAAGTCAATATTATCGTTAAAACAAATGGTTAGGAAATGACATATTGATCCACATACATTCCTGTATTCAACTAATGCATTGTTTGTCATAGTTTTACTGATGATATTCAATATACATGCACATTTACAGTGTTCTTACTATAATTAAATAAAAATGCGCAAATCGAATCTCTGACGTCAAAACAACATATATATATATATATATATATATGCACACAAATAAAGCATAGTATATCCTACTCAGTTGAGATTTGCCTAGAGACAAATTTGTTCATCGGCAATACATCAATTGGGATGAATTGTATAATATGGCTAATGATTGGTATTGTGGAACACGGAGCCTGTCAACCACAGAAGTTCGAAACCACGTGTCCACTGCCGAATCGAACAAACAAGGTACTGAGAATTGTTATTTTAAAATAAGACGGATATTGGAGACAAATGACAATTCTTTAACAGCTTCACACAAATTGTTCTTGTTCGGTCTATATCCGAACACAATACAATACAACGAAACGTATACTTTGTGTGCTATAAGCATATTCATTAAATGTTCATCATTGTATGTTTCGGATAAGATACATGGATTGCATTACTTATCTTATAATCATTTATATATTTATGAAATATATATTTTATTTTACAATTACACACTTTCATGAATAGACTTTCACAGTTATCAAACTAATACCTAGCAGAAGTAATATAAATCCATTGATTACTGTAACCAAGCTCTTGGTGAAATTACACAGTAAATCAAAAAGTACAAAAAGATGATTCACAGTATTTCGATACATAGCGTAACTGTTGTAGAATTGACCGTTGAGAATCTAAATATTAAATTTACAAATCAGAAGATATACAAACAAGTCAGTGCTGAACATTAAGTGTAGTCAGAGGCGCACAGTATACTAACTAAATTAATGAACTTCAAAGTTAAGGAAGTGTTACACAATAAAACAATAAAATATTTACTTATTCATGTTCATACTTTCTACTGGGGTACTAAATACTTACTAATCCGGATGTACTATATAACTTGAGCAAGATTTCATGCTAATTAATATGATATCTAATCGTGGTGGTGATCGGAAAACAATTATTCGAATTGATGTATTGTAACCTTAAAAAACAAAGTTAATGACGGCGACGACGAAACCTACATTTCCTCATATATCTTTCCCTTCATTAACATAACGGGTAAGCTATATAAATAACATTTCTTGAACGACATTTATCTGTAAAATTGTATATATTCACGACAGATAACCACATTAACAGAAGAACAATGCATTTACGCTATGTATGGTTTAAAATATAACAGTATTATAGCTTTATCATTATGATTTGTTGATTATTTCATGTTATGTGTATATATTAAACATAAACTATAATATAGCATTTGCAAGCAATTCTTCCTCACACAGCTCCAGTTAAAATAGGTTACTTGTGCAGTCCAAAAAGATGTTATCATTTTAATATGTTAATAACTATAGTGACTCCGGAAAAACTTCGGACGTGTAAAATCATGCTTACAGAGGTCTTTCATAGTCTCCACCGACATCAGCGGAAGTCATCCTATACAAAGAAATAAAATCAAAAGTGAGACACCTAGGTTGACCAATCGTGAAAACTTGTCGGTATCAATTGCTGTGGTTTAATATTTTTTGGGGAAAATACTAAAATAATTCAAATTCACAATAATTCAGATTAACATTCCCATTAATGCGAATGAAAATATTCCACAATTATTCATAATAATATACGCCGAGATCTTGTTGAGAGCGAGTGGGCCATAAGATGTATCTCTCAAATATTGCTTCATTTTCTTCCGTTAACTGCTTCCGCTCGACTGTTCATCTGACACTGTTCGTTATTCGCTATCATGTCAGGTGAACAGTAGTCGCAGTTTACAGCTGTGAATGGGTCTTTTGTTTTTCACAAAATAGGTAAGTCCCGTCATTAAATAAGCACTCTAGGACATTTCTTTAACTTTACTGGGGACTTTCCTGAATATTATGAGTTACAGTAATTCAGAATAAAATCGATTCTTTGTGAATTTTCGGATGTCAGGTCACCATTCAAAAGTGTTATTTGAAAAGAATGAAACAAAAATGTGAAGTCAATTCCCAGTTTTAGCTCAAATATCACTTAGATTTGAACGTGTAGTAAGTATTCCTAGCAACCATCCAATATTTTTCGAGATAAATCTGTATTATCTCAGAGTTTAATCTTTCAATATTAAACAGAGCATATACGTTACTTACCGTTCACCTATAAACTTTCCACTTGACATTTGTTCACTGAAACAAAATATAATTAACCAATTATGCAACTGCTGTCACTATCACATTGTTTGAAGCAATGCCACTATATTTTGTAGAATCGAAGAGATGAAGGTACACTGTAATTTGTGTGAAGCCATTTGTGTAATATTTAAGTTACATCGGTGTGTGTATGTCTGTCGGTTAGACAGTCTGTGTGTCTTCATTCGGTTTGGTATTTTCTACGCCAGTACATACAAGCGCCAGCTATAAATGGTTCCAACATAGTGATCGATCGTACAAATCTTTCTTGACAAATGAACAATTATCAATTTACAAAGTGAGATTGGAAACCTAATTGAAATGTAGATTACACCACTTCAACAATAAATGCATGATTGAAAAAAAAATCCTAAATGTAGTCCTCAGAAGGTATAAACACTTACTTTGACAGTTTAGGCAAAGGCTTTGCATATCCATCTTTTCCGTATAAGAAATATGTTGTCAATAGTCCTTTACCCTTCAAATATATATATATATATATATATATAAAAGATATATTGTGATTGTTCCATCAAGACAACAAATCCTTATCAAAATAGGTCGTATTCTAATAAATTAATTTCATAAACAAGATAGCATGTTTGTGTGTAAAAGAGCGGACGAATATAGTGAAATAAATGTATCCATAACATGTTTCTTAAATTGCGTACAAAATAATCGTGCAGTTAACTGTTATAATTTATAACTTTTAGTGTTAATATTAGCGAAACATCGATATTATGTTATACTCAAGACGGTGTAAAATCTAGCCATACATACGAAACCACAGTTTAATCATATTTAAATGGCCTTGAAATGACATAATAGTAAAATTTATTGGAGTATGGAATATTTGATAGTAAACTGGCTGATGAAAACTAACCTTAACTTTAACTTCTCCACGTGGTACCATATTGTATCCTTCATCAAGGTCTTTCAATGATGTATATAGTTGTTTACTGACATGGATATGACATGCTGCAATATATCATCAGTGTTGTTACAATACATTGCTTTTAGGTGATTCGATAGCACAATGTGTAATCAGTACATCTAATTACTGATATATTGTTATATTACAACACAACAAAGCATCCATTCATATAACTGGAAAATAGATGTGAATCACAACAAAATGTCAAAACTGAATATCAACAACACAGTTACTCACATTTTCCTGTCGATTCCATTCGCGACGTCATATTCACTGTGTCTCCGAACAAACAATATCGAGGCATAACCAACCCAACAACACCGGCTACTACAGGCCCCGTATGTAAACCAATGCGCAACTGCAGTTTCTGATTTGGGCGATGACGTATTTTAAAAGAGGTAGTGAAACTGAGGATATCCAGAGCGCAATTAGCTATTTCTGCTAAATGGCGGTTACCATTTCGTTGTGGAAGACCTGATACGATCATATAAGCATCACCAATGGTCTCAACCTATGACAATGAGAGAGTTATGTGTTAGCAACATGCATAGCAGGGTGACGGTAAATGATTACTCGATGAATGGTTCTGATGCTGTACCTGTATTACAACTAAACTTCTTGATTGACAAAACATACCTTATACACGTCATGGTTTCCTATAATCTCATCCAAACAACCATATAAATCATTCAGAAAATTGACAACCTGAAATATCAAGGTAGTCAGAATAAGTCTATATCAGGATTGCTCGATGTTCGTGAATGTATGTACGCTATAGCAAAACAATCACCTGCATTGGAGAACTTTCTGCAGTCAATTCAACAAATCCGACAATGTCTGAAAAGTATATTGTACACGATTCGTAGTCTTCGGGAGGAACAGTTTTACCAAGTTTCAAAGCTTCTGCCACCGTTCTGAAATCGCCAAGCACAAAGGTAAAATTTAGTGGACGAAACATTGGAGTGCATTGGGATCTATATGTAAATATGTGTGTATGTATGTGTGTACGTGCATAATGTATTTTCAAAGCTTTAATGGTCTTTATATAAGGTGTTACGGTTAAACTAAACTTTCACCCTCTTATGTGAATTATGCATACTACATGACCAATCACATGACAAAATTACTGAGCGACTCACAATTAACACACGGGTGAGTATTATATTCCTACACAGTTACAAGGAACACGTTCAAATAAGTTGTATAAACATGCACAACGATACGCAAGATCACTCAACCAGACATTAGGGAATGATTTATTGTGACAGTCGTGCTTCATTGAGACTAGACTAGAAGTGACGTATTTAGCCTGGTTTACTCTCGGCGTAATCTTGTACGAAATGGTAGTTCTTCAATACCTTCACAAACACACAAACACGAGCGTGACATGGAAATAACACAACACAGTTTATAAAACTACCAGCCCGTCCAATATAATATGCAAACATCTACCAATGAGCAGTGTCCATACTGAGTAGCAGTTCAATCATCACAGAACACGTGACACATTCACCTGTTTGTAAGTAACATCCAATCAGTGATCTCAACCAAGCAATGTACACGTGTCAGTTTATTTGGGCCACGTGCCATATGCACCCGCTCGTAGGTACCGTCCAATATGCGCATGTCCGTCTAATCGGGTTGCCTGCCAGGCACGTCGCCTTCCAAAGACAATACGTTTCATTGATGGATGTTTGCTGGTACAGCTTCCATATAACATACCGGGAATTCAAGTATATATTGCAGTGAAAAATATTTGGACAATTATCACAGATGACCAACATTGTGTGTACGCGTAAAAATGTATTGTCAAATCTATATTCATTTGGTCTTCATAAAAGAGTAATATCATTACACCACGTGTATTACTTTGATATCATGTGTACAATGAGCAACAACAGAGATATACTAACATTGGTAACATTCTATAAAGTAGCTGGTCTGTTTTCAGTTTTTCCTCCAAAACTTGACCAGTTCTTTGTTCAACGATTTCTTCAAGGTTGTTGGCATATTTCTCCATCATATTTAGTATATTATCCATGATACTGATTCTGAAAGTCAAAGATGATTGTGATGATACTAGTGATATATAAGATTAAATATGTGGTAAAATCAGTGTGAGAAAGCCATCAAAGTATGGAGCGATGTAATGTTCGGGTGTGAACACTGCCTATTTCACATGTAACAAGCCAATAAAGGTACATACAGCACTAAGACTTTATTCAGCAATTTACTCACTCTTTTCCGTTGCCCATGTTTTTTATATCGAGTCTAATACTAGAAAACGATGGCCTACTATCTACATTTTCAGACCAACATTTCATCATCAAATTAATAATGTTGTATCCATATTCGCAATTATCGGGATTAAATAGCAGTATCGTTGGTCGATATGGAATACTTTCACCATTACGAATACGACTCACAACATCTGAAATGTTAATAACAGTAGTAATAACACACATTACAATTTTAATTACCATTACATTAAGTAATAATTAATATTAAGCGATGTATTTGACCACTTAATCGGTCACAAAAGAATTTATTCAAATTAAATCGATTAATTGATTGATTCATTCATTCATTCATCATGATTAACCTCGAGGTGTAATATTGTCGAAACAATAAGGTCCAGTTCGTTCCAAAATCTCAAATATTATCACAGCAAAACTGTAGACGTCTCCCTTTTGTGTCCCACACGCTGGGGGAAAATTCATACGTAGGATTTCCGGAGCTGTCCAGAGTTTACCTAGTAATCAATAAGACATAATGTAAGATGAGTATATTTATACTCACTCAAATGTGCTTGATTTCAATGTTAAAACGCCACATCGAGTATACAATAGCTTAGAAAGTAACAACGGTTGTATAACGATTGGAAACTTACTTAAAAACTTGTCATTATCATCAACATTCTCAGCTTTCATTTGTCCTGAGTAGAAACTCTGCAAACCATAGTCAGTAATCTTGACAACCCAGCGATTATCTACCAAACAATTTGACGATTTCAGGTTGCCATGAGAACCACATCCATGTCTATTCTTGTGAAGATATTCCATGCCCTGTCGGAGATCGATGGGTATATCATTAATACATAGGAAATTGTGTCATGATAATCAAAATGTAAATCCAACAATGACGATAAAGAGGCAGTATTTCATGTGACTTGTTATTTGCACAAAGGATAAATCGTATATCAGCTGTATACCATATCATCTTTAAATACTAACCTTAGTAATGTCAGTCATGAAGGACAATTTGAATGTGTCGTCCAAACGTATTTCATCATTTTGCAGAACATCCTGTGAAATGTGTTAATTCCAATACATTTGTTGTTATTTTACAATAAAGAGCAAGTCAAAATAGGATGTGCAATACCTTTATTGCAAACAAGATGATGTTCAGCAAAATTGAAGCGTACAAGATTATTTGATTTCAAAAAGTCAGTAATGTATATGTGCTTAACATTTTTAACACAACCCGTTATATCAATTATATTTGTAGGAAATACAACTTCTACATATTATTCCAGGGCAAATACTTATGCAGACAACATTTCTTCAAAATAGTAGTAGCGATTGAGAGGAAGCGGAATGTGAAATAAATACACAAACAAATGTATTATGGTGTAAAGAAAATACATACACTCAAAATAGACAGGAATTATTGTTTATTTTAATTAATTAAGGAATCGTAAGCAAAATAATTAAAGCCGCATAGCAGCATTGTCTGTTTGATGTTTGAAGTCAGGATATGCATGCCACACCCGTGATGTACCGGAGTCTTGTCAGGGAAAATAAGTAAAAAGTGAAACAACTAAATTAAGCCATAAAAACATTGTCACAAACTATACATACAAATATTATTCTGATATTAACATTCATGAACCAAATCTACGACCATGTTTTCTAGTATTACACCAAACTGAAAAACCATGCTAGTGGGAATGTTACAATCATTCAAAACTCGTCATGAAATAATATTACATAAACTCACCACAAGACTTCCTCTTTCACAGTACTGCCATCCTAGGAAGATAGTGTTGCTTTCTAGACATGCACCGACAAATGGGTTCAGGTTTTCATGATTGAGTTGTCGTACCTTGATGGATATGTTAATGCGTTAGAATTCTTTCAAAATGTTTTTTTTTTATTTTTAAATATCAAAAATCCACAAATTAAGTTTTTTTATATTTAAATATTAAAATCTATTTTTGCGTATTTCTTGTAATGCTTTGCATAAAAAGGGGTGTTCTACAATTTTACATACTGTGACAACAAATCACCGTAATGAATTTTGCGGGGGATGGGTATTTTGTCTATAAGGCCTACTCACAGTGCGTAGGACAGTTATAATGATTATGTATGTTATGTATGTAAGCAATCATTCAAAAGTTGAATATAAGTTGATGTAACAATCTACTCACATCATTCAATTCGATGAGAACCCTGCGGTCTATTTGCATGTGCTCTTTGTTGATTTTCTTCAAAGCAACTACTACACCCCTATAGGTCGCTGTGTTGGAAAAGTATTTTAGTGTACGATTAGACGGCGCTGAACTCTTCCCATCGGTACTATAAGAATAATTAGAGGAATGCTTCGACAACGAATCACCACCACCACTTATCAAACTTGTCTGTAATCGAATGTTTATATATTGGTCAGGCGTGTTGTTAAAAGTTGGTCATTATGAGCATTGGAATTTTTAGTTTTTTGTTATTGCAATGTACGTACATGACTGCCACTGCTGCCACCACCCATACTCCCTGACTTCATTTTCTGTGATCCGCCTCCAGTGAAGTGCAGATCTTCCAAATGAATTTTCCATCTCATGTTCAATAAATCTGATTCATATTTACTTCGTCTTTAAAAAAAACAAGAGAAAATAGTCATAGACTAAAATAACCTTATTACATGTGATAAATTGCAATAATTTGAATAACGTGTAACAATAAAATCACGCATGTAATCGTGACCAGAGAATTCATGACATGGTATGATTTCTACAACAATGTTTCTACGAAGACAGTGACATATATCTGCAAAAATATATCAATGTATGTACTCTGATTGTTTGATGTTACTACTACGGGAAAAGTCAGTGTCCAATAATTGAGATTTAAATGTGTTTATACTTTGAATAAAGGTCACTTCCGGTTATAAGGAGCTAGTTTGTGTATTCTTAGAGTTTGTATAGAGTTGCCAACCAAGGGCACATATATGTCAGTTGAATAAATCAACATAAACCATCACACTTACCTGTACAGCCAGACAAATAAAATCGTTACCATGACGATGACAATGGTGCCTGCA